CGCCGGATCTCTGGCCGCGCATTCGCCAGAAATCCGCCCTGTCCCCAGCATTGTCTCTCTGGGCATTCTGAACACTGGCCATCTGCTCAGCTCTGAGGAAAAGAAATCACAGGACGTAAATCTCTAGAGCTAGAAAATGTGCGTGTCATTAACCAAATCCACTCAGTTATTTCTTATGAACTTGGGTTAGAGAAGATGCAGCTTGATAACGAAAAGGTTTCACAGTGTAGGAAATGTGGGGACTCTCTCTCCCCGATAAGAGGCAGATCAAGGCTGGGTTCCCATGAAATCCACCAGAAGCTCAGTGACAAACCCACTAAATGTGGCTGGTTCTGACAGGATGGTATACAGTAAACAGACCAGAAACCCATGCCAACGTACAAGTGTCTTTCCTATTCTCCCCACTCCCAGCCAAGCAACAAGCATGCACTGGGGTTGAGGGTGAGGGCCAGGCACTGGACAAGGGCAGCATATCTGAGAGGTGTTGGTGTGCTGTAGCCACTCGGTCTCTGCTCACTATTTTGCCTCAAACACCAGCCAAGCGCAACAACCAACCAAGTGATGCTAAATACTCACACAAACCAGCTGGTGGCTATGCCACAGTTCCAGGCCACTCTCCATAAATGAGAAGATGATGGAGAGGACATGAGGACCAATAATGAAGCCGTGTGGGGCTTCCTTTTTGAGGGGAGTGGGATGGCGGTTTACTTGTGGGAAGAAGGTGTAAATGGGGCGTGTGGACACGGTGAGATACCTGCTTTTGTTGGGGATTAAGCCTTTTTCCAATTCGTTTCCGATCCGCACAGCCAGCCAGTGGCCCAGCTTGCCATCATATAGCGTATCTACAACTCGGAAGACCTCCCCCCTGGTGAAGGCCAGGCTCTGTGGAGTTTCCTTCTCACATTCAAAGTGGCTTCTTATAAAAAACGAATCCCCTCTGCCACAAGCCAGTATGTCTCTATACACATCAGCTCGGCTCTGGGCTAAAATGGTCACCATTTCACCTTTGGGAATTTCTAACAGGTAGAGAACAGCATCCTCCCGAACCAGCCCTCTGAAATCCTGTGTGTTCACCTGATGGGAAGGGCAAACAGGAAGAAAAATTAAAAAGTTGTTTATAAAAAGATGCCATCTGAATTTTTTATTATGTGTTTTCATCAGGGCCTGCCCAATGCAAAACCCAGGTGTAAAGAAGACCTTCGTGTCTCTACACAAGCCCTCCCAGCACCTGCTACATAAATGGTGGATGTGGGCATCTCCACACTTTCTTGCTTCCCTACACTGCCAACCACCCCTTGGGAATACATATTCCATCAAGGACTAGTCAGTGGATCAAATGTGAATTTGTTGTAGTTGTGTGTCTCCCTCTCTTCTTTGAGTCTCCCAGAGAGGTGGCCAGGGAGGTAATAGGCAATCGTAAAATAGGTAACTGTCATGCAGTAGGGAGTGGTGGGGTCTATGGCAAAAGGCACGCTGGCCCAGCTTAAGGCATTAACCCTGTTCTTAAATTGTTTCAAATAAAAGCCTGAAAATAAGCATTGTGACCAATTCTACCTTTCTCCTATAGCTTCTATCACCTAAAAGGTGTTTGATATGAGTTTATGAAATTGAAGCGCATTAGCCTTCTATGACAAACCATTAACCTAATATATAGGCTTATATATTTATGTTTCTGACACACACTTATTTCTGGCAAGAAACCCACATTTATTCCCCACTGGCTGAGGAGAGGACATTATAAACAGCTTTCGGAAGATACGTTAGAAAGCAAGTAAAATTGAAATGTGGCACAAAGAAAAAGATACTTTGATATCTTTGCTCTGTACCTTTAAAACCATTTTAAAAGAGAATAATCACAAATAAGTAAAATGCAAAAATTATTTTAAAGTACTCAATAGTTTAATAACATATTACATTAGTAAAAGATACAAAATTCCTATGAAATATTTTCTTCATTGAGCACTGTGAAACCCTTCAATTGAACAGTAATGCTTTATTATTGAAAAAAGATCATTAATTGAGCCTAACTTAATGTTAGAATTTATGATTAGATAAAAATAGGCATTAGACTAAAACTTACTTGGTGTTTTTAAAATAAAGTGATCTATCTGCTAAAGCAATCAGGTTAACTTTTCCTTTGAAACAATATTTAGCATTTAAGACAACTCATTCCCATCTCTCCATCTCCCAATCAGGGATCATTGCACTTCGGTATCTAATCCTTTCTTATGCCATTTGCAGTTCTGTATCTGCGTCTATAAGCGGCCACACATATGTTTTTATATGCACTGTATATGCTTATATTAATTGAAATTAGACAGGGCCATAGGGCTGGGGGAAAACCTGGAAGGTCCCTCCGTCCATGTCTATGACCACTTGGGACTCTAATAGTAAAAATTAAAGCACACATGATAGCTACATTTAAAAATCTACATGGTTAATAAGCAAACTTAGAGGAGTTTTCTCTTTTCCATCCCCTAAAACAGCGGTTCTCAACCTGTGGGTCGCGACCCCTTTGGGGGTCGAACGACCCTTTCACAGGGGTTGCCTAAGACCATCGGAAAACAAAAAGATATTTACGTTATGATTCATAACAGTAGCAAAATTACAGTTATAGAGTAGCAACGAAAATAATTTTATGGTTGGGGGTCACCACAACATGAGGA